AATCCAAGAGACCAAACGACTGAACGCTCGCTTTATTTCCGGAACAAGTCCTGGGAGTTCGAATTAGAACACTGCATGAGCCAACTAGAATATTACAAGAAACGGCTGCTCACGTGATAGCCTCAACATACAGCTTTCGTAAGTTGGGTGGAATTAAGCTCGATAAACAGTCTGCCTACTCTATAGAAGGAATTTGTTGTGTACAGAGCAAATGAAGTGTGACGTGAAAAGCTAGGAAGCAGTGTGCAGCTGTTTCGACCGGGTTGGGTTTATCAACAGCAGTGCAAATCTAACCTATTATTTACCACTTCTCAAATGAAGTAGTATTTTTTTAATCTAGATTGATCATACTTCAAACCCCATTTTCACACAAAATCTTGTTGCTTAAGCAATTGGGCAGAGTAAGATGCGAGTTTTGCTCTAATTTCTAAAGACTATTGTACCATGATTTGTTTGGCACAGTCTGGCCTCAAACGTATGATATATATATAATTGGAGATCATCAGTAGTGCGTATCTATCATCTCGTCTGGGTTTCAGACTGTGAACCCACCGCATGGAAGATGGCTGTACGCCTGACTGGTTGAACTGGGGACTGTGCGTAAAGATGGACTCCGAAGGGTGTTCAGTTCAAATGAAAACTACTCATTTCATTCTAAAAGTAACAAGTAACTGTAAGTTAACTGCCAGGGGATAGCTATTGTTCTTAGGAGATCACGGAAATCATGAATGCAGTCGATCGAAAAGTTCCGTTTCTCTGTTAAATACGGAGCTGCAAACTTATTCAAATACTGACACAATATTCATAATCAAAATAAATATTCAGTCCGTATGCTAACCCGCACTAGTGGAGATTTTCAACATTAGCTACCTGTATAGGCTAGGATAAAAAACCTAGGGTTGTAAGGATGACATTAAAATGTGAGAAATCGATCATATGGCATATGGACATACATAGTTCGGAATTATTTACCTTATCACAGCTTTTTCTGGTCTAATCATCTGCCAAACTAGTGCTGATTATCGTTAAATCACCCTGGAGATCATGTGTTCGAATCCTACCACTAGTGCCTAACTCTACTCCATTTCTTTGTATTGCAAGGTAGCATTTCTATTGGCCGCGTCCAGCTTCATGAAAATTGCCTGTAATATGTGTTCAATAGAAGCAAAGGAATAAAAAATGAGCACAGAAGAAAAGGTTCCTCTTAATAGCTGTCATTCAAACTGTACCAAAAATGGACAGGGTACAGCATATTCCGTCAATACCACCAATCTAATATTAGTGACCCTGGTGTGCCTCACACTCTCTCCAAACAAATAATGGTTTCATAGGCACTAGTTATTCACCAATAGTTCGCATCCTTCAATCTCGTTGAAGTATCCAGACATTCCTCTGTCCTAACTTCCTTGCTTGGATTACGTAATTCGTTTCTTCAAAACCCCCTCCCTAACACATTAATGTCGACTTCTGGTTGTTACCCACAACATTCAAAACGTGACTGAAGGAATCTATTCGACGGTAGTGCGGGGGGAAGGGAAGGATAGAATGAGAAAATGTCAAGGGAACGCTCGGCAAATTACCAATCAATCGCTGAACCGTTTTGCATGATGCCGTGCTTTTTTTAATTTATGTAATTCAGTGGTCCACCACAGGTCGTACGCGTAAAGCTCTTAAAAAAAACAAGCTGATCATGCGGCATTTGTTTGTCATTGGCATCATCTTACAGCTGACCAGAAACTCATGCATTTTCGATGAGTTTAGTATTCGAAAAAAAACACGACTGAACGTACGCGTATCTGTGCTTAGTAGACTTCCCTGATGGACTTCCACCTCAGAAATTTCTTGGCATAAACAGTTAGATACGTACTTTTCAGTCACCGCGGACAACAACTTAAGGGGATTAGTAAATGTAGACTTTGAATGTGACAACTTTAGCGTTAGATTCAAGAAACTTTTCATCCTTTCGATTGCCGATGAGTGTCTGTAGCACACTGTACTGCCCCTGTTTTACCCGCAAAAGATCCCGTTACGACTGAGGGACCGGTAGCCTCGTATTCCATATGCCTATGAATATTTTAATCGTAAGGTGAAGTGATCCATGAAAAATAATGCAACACGTTCAAACACACGAAAAGGTTAGTGAATCCTCGATTACCCGTCGATCGGGTTTATTCAAATATTGTCACCCGACATAAACGGCAGATACGATTCCACGCTACCCAATCTGCCAAAGCCTGCAGAAGCCTCAATATGGTCGGGATGGGTGTCTACTAGGGTTGCGGCTGGTCATCCTTCCCTTGCACCTAGCGCGAAATGCTCCCATTTGACCAAGCATCTCGAACTGCCTCCACTGAGGAAGCCCTACTCACTGTCTTCTCAAGCCGGCCGTGGTGTTTTCCTACCAAAGTGAGAGGGCAAAATGCCGACATCCGGGGCTATAACCGGGTTGGTGGACCACTGGTAGTTCACCTAGGGGAGTTGAACAAAAACCCTGATTCCAAAACAATCAAGAGGAGACGTACGAACCACACAGACAACTTCCCGGTTGTCGCAGTGATCACCGGCTCCATTGGGCATAGAGGTGTATTGGGCACCTTGAACGTTTGACCCCGTCGAAAGGGCATATGATCCGACGAACTAGACACTGATCCCCAATGGATTGCGGTTTTCGCACACCGCACCGCTGCCTTGCGGGTCAGGCTTTGGCTAGCCGAATGCTCCGGTTGTGGATTCCTCAAGAAAATTCACTTTCCTTGGCCTGGGCAGTCTGGCAGTATACAGCTCACATGCAAATCATGGAACGTTTTTCTTTTTTTAAGATTATCGTACCATGATTTGTTTGGCCTGAGACGGGTGTGAATTACATATAAATATATCTATTATCTGCCAAAAAGCGGAGTCGGTGATATGTTAAAATTGAAGACCACGGGCACCGCGAACCCAACCGATTCTTTTCATACCGCACATAATGTGATGAACAGTAGAGTGAGTCATATGGTCACACAAGGTGCTACTGTGCAGTCTGACAACTTGAGGCGGCCAACCGTATTTTATTGAACCGTGTGATAAAACAGCGAACAGGCAAGAAAGTTGAGCAGCTGTATTGGGGCTTGAACCTACTACTACCTTGAAGCCCAGAACACCCCAGTGACGCCAAATTAAACAGCTCAATGACCACTAACCCACCATAATTTGGCCGCTCTTAGATCAGAACACCCAAATCAAGCGTTAGAGTTAAGGTCGCGGGAAAACATCGAAGGGCAAAGATGTAGGACCTATGCATTCATTCCAATAAAAATCGCCTTGCATTGCTCCTGTCTGAGAAACAGTCACTTTACCCAACTGCAGAACCACACACCGACTGAATCAAATGCTTTGAAGCAGAATGACCAAACATACCGTTCGTTTTTCTTTATCATGGACACACACTGAACAGCATGGATTGCTAACAGCTCAAACACAAGGATCTCGGAGCAATCTAGTGGGAAATCGATAGGCAACTTGTTGGTTAAGGTGTTGCTGGATGTTGCAAAAATTCATGGACGGAATGTTTCTACAATTCAGTAATACATAAAAAACGAACAATGAGAGCATGATTCGGACTAAACGTATAAGTCTTAGATTTCACCAGGGTGAAATTCACGCACCAACCGGGGCTGAAAACGCCGTTTCTGTAAGCAACGACATTGTCTTACCAACGTTCAACTTGAGTGCCAGGTTGCTTACTCAAACGAAAGTGAACAAGCGAAATGTGTTCTTTGGGAATTCTGTTTTTGTTTTCCTCTGTGACTTTTGCGTGATGACCGGGTTTATTGGATGTGAGGGCAACTGAAATAGATTCACTGAGTCTGTAGACTGTCAGGGATTCGGTACAGTTGGGGCTTTACACACATTTCTATTTGTGGCGTTCTGTTGTTGTTGTTGTTGGATGCCGGTTTGTCGCGCAAAAACCGGACACGCTCCCAAACGTTTTCGTCAGTAGTTTGTGAACGATAATTGGACAAAGTGAAAACCATCTGCTGCCCGTGAACAAGCGAAATGTGTTCTTTGGGAATTCTGTTTTTGTTTTCCTCTGTGACTTTTGCGTGATGACCGGGTTTATTGGATGTGAGGGCAACTGAAATAGATTCACTGAGTCTGTAGACTGTCAGGGATTCGGTACAGTTGGGGCTTTACACACATTTCTATTTGTGGCGTTCTGTTGTTGTTGTTGTTGGATGCCGGTTTGTCGCGCAAAAACCGGACACGCTCCCAAACGTTTTCGTCAGTAGTTTGTGAACGATAATTGGACAAAGTGAAAACCATCTGCTGCCCGAGAACTGTTG